CCCTTCTCTCTGCCCTCCATCTGCTTCCTTTCCTGCCACAGGTGTGGATCGAAGCTGCTCTTCAGATCTTCTACTCCCTGGGTGTGGGCTTCGGGGGGCTCCTCACCTTTGCGTCCTACAACACGTTTCACCAGAACATCTATAGGTCAGGGCTGTCTCCCAGATCCCAGGGGCTGGAGTGGGGAGGAGAGTGGCTGGCTGGGGAGGGCCTCGTGGGTGAAGGCGTGGCCCGCTCACCCTGGCCTGTGCCTGGACTTCTCCCGGCAGAGACACCTTCATCGTCACCCTGGGCAACGCCATCACCAGCATCCTGGCTGGCTTTGCCATCTTCTCCGTGCTGGGCTACATGTCTCAGGAGCTGGGTGTGCCTGTGGACCAAGTAGCCAAAGCAGGTGAGCAGGCTGCCCAGCCCTGGTGGGTGGAGGGTGTGTCGGGGACAGCTGGGCTGGGCAAGTTAACATACATGTGGCCCAGCAAGGTTGTGGATGGGTATGACGTGTGCGTGTGTGTGCACACGAATGAATGTGTCTTAGCTGCTCTCTGGGTATCCTAGAGCAAAGGGATGAATGTACAAATGAGTGTGTGTCAACCTGTGTCTGGAGATAAGTGACTTTCTGTAGGAGATAGTCTTGTTTTGCCGCATCTTAGGAACCTGCCTTGCTTGTCCAGATGAGTCACAACCTGTGTGCAGATGGCTGTGCAAGTTAATTGAGGGTTTGAATGATGTGAATCAGTGTCTTGTGCCAGTGGGAGTGTCTGAGTATGTGTGTTCATGGAACTGTTTGTGCAAATGATTGTGTACATAAGTGTATTCAAATGAGGCTTTCCATTTGGTCTTGTGTTTTCTCGTGTACTCATTATTAATTCATTTATTTTATCAACCTGTGTTTATGGAGCACCGACAGTGTGCTGGCCTGTATCCTAAAAATTAAGAAAGTGTTGGAAGTGAGTATACGTCTCTGGGTCTGGCTGAACCAAGTGTGCCCAAGTGGGTGTGGGCGACCATGTGCATCTGAGTACGTATGTGGGACCCCCGCGTTCCCCAGACTGCTGACGCCGTGTACCCTTGGCCCAGGCCCTGGCCTGGCCTTTGTCGTCTATCCACAGGCCATGACCATGCTGCCTCTATCGCCCTTCTGGTCCTTCCTCTTCTTCTTTATGCTGCTGACTCTTGGCTTGGACAGCCAGGTGAGCTGCTCCACGCCAGTAGGTGCACCTTGTGGTGTGCGTCTGTGTCTCTCTGCGTGTGTATCTGTGTGTGATGTGTGTATCTATATGTGCGTCTGTGCGTGTGTGAGATGTATGACTGTGCATCTGTGTATGTCTTCATGTATTGTGTCTGTGTGTATGGCATGTGTGTGATGTGGATCTGTGTGATGTGTCTGTGTATATCTATGTGTGTACCTGTGTGTGTATGTGTGGTGTGTGTGTATCTTTGCCTGTGGGATGTGCATCTGTGTGTGTTTGTATGTGTGTGGGGGGGAAAGAATTCTGACGCCCCCCATTCTCCCCCCCCCAGTTTGCCTTCCTGGAGACCATCGTGACAGCTGTTACAGATGAGTTCCCGTATTACCTGCGGCCCAAGAAGGCTGTGTTCTCAGGGCTCATCTGTGTGGCCATGTACCTGATGGGGCTGGTCCTCACCACGGATGTGAGTGGCGCTGCGGGGTGGGCGGGCAGCTGGTGGGCAAGGCTGGGGCAGACACCTGTGGCACTGTCTGTGGCCAGGCCGAGCACTCCCCAAACTACCTGCTTCTTCCTCCTTGGGAGGAACCTGGTCCGCCCCAGGCCCTCTCTCCCAGGGGCAGCTTGGCCTGTGACCCAGAGTCCTGACTTTGGAGTCTGAAAGACCTGGGTTCAAGCCTCGCTCCTGCATTCGCTAAGCGACCTCAGGACAAGTGGTTTCGCCCCTCTGAGGCTGTTTTCCCACTGATAAAATGGGGTCTACATCTAGGCTTGTTGTGAGACTCAAATCAGATGACGTGTATAAAGGGCTCGGTAGGCAGACCGCAGTCACGCTGTCATCGTCTTGCCCTCCCTGCCGGTCTGGCTGCTTCCTGCTCACTTCCTGCCTGGGGAAGGGGTGGCATCAGGGAGAGAGGCTGGGATAAGGGGACCCCAGAGCTGCGACTTGTGTTCCAGGGGGGCATGTACTGGCTGGTCCTTCTGGACGACTACAGCGCCAGCTTCGGGCTAATGGTGGCGGTGATCACCACGTGCCTCGCTGTCACCCGGGTGTATGGTGAGAGGGGCCATGGGAGGTGGAGTCAGGCTCCCCACCGTGGGAGAGCGGGAGTCTACCCTGGAGCCCCCCTGCACTGGGTTCCTGGTCCCGAGGGCCAGGGTTTCCGGTGGGGGCAGCTGGAGTGGAGGAGGGGCTGCTGGCACTTGTGGGGCTGCGGGTGGGACCATGCTCCTCCCTCCCCTGTGCAGGCATCCAGAGGTTCTGCCGGGATATCCACATGATGCTGGGCTTCAAGCCGGGCCTCTACTTCAGGGCCTGCTGGCTGTTCCTGTCCCCGGCCACGCTCCTGGTAACCGGGGGTGGGAGGGAGGGCTGCTGGCTGGGGACTCAGGGCTGAGAGCAGGGCCCCTCTGGGCGTTCAGTCTGGTAGGACTGCCCTGGCCCATAGTGGACCTCTGTCAGGGTTGAGAGGTGGGGCGGGCACCGGGATCCTGGTCTACTCCCCTCCCCCTTGATGCCCCCAGCTTTTGTAGCTGTGCTGAGGCTGGTCCTGCGTTTGGTTGGCAAAATGAGTGGGGCTTTCTCAGGCCTCAGAGCCTTAAGGCTGGGGTCAGAGCAGCTCAGGGGTAGGCCGTCTCAGGAATTAGGGCGCCTCAGAGCTGGGCTGTCTCAGGTCTTGGCATTGGGTCAGCTTGGGGCAGGGCTGTCTGAGGACTTGCAAAGGCTCTAAAGATGGACCATCTAGGTTCTGGTACAGCTTAGGACTGGGCTGTCTCAGAAACTGGGTGGTTCTGGGCTGAGCTATCTCAGGCTTTAAGGTAGCTCAGACCTGGGCTATCCCAAGCCCTGGGCCATGCCCGAGGCCCACTTTGATGCTGGGAGCCCCCCCACCTGCAGGCCCTGCTGGTGTATAGCATCGTCAAGTACCAGCCCTCAGAATATGGCAGCTACCGCTTCCCAGCCTGGGCGGAGCTGCTGGGCATCCTGATGGGCCTGCTGTCCTGCCTCATGATCCCAGCCGGCATGCTGGTGGCTGTGCTTCGAGAGGAGGGCTCGCTCTGGGAGGTGAGTCTGCCCCACCCCTGCCTGCTCCCAGCCCCCTGACCTGTGGCCCTGCCCTGGGCCCAACCTCCAGAAGAGAAAACGTCTGCTCCGACACCTTTTCCAGAGCCTGCAGGATTCTTTTAACTGGGAAGAGCATATTTTTCTAACCAGTAGCCTGGGCTATGAATCACCTCAGTCTGCTTGGTCTGTGGCAGGCTCTGGGGCCAGAGTCCTATCCTGTGGCCCCTCCCACCACCTGGGGCCCCTGGCAAGGGAGGGGCACAGACCGCGGATACTGGCCACTGCCCACGTGTCTTGGGGGAACCTGAAAGGACAAGGGTCTTATCCAAGGTCCATGGTGAGTTGGGCAGGGGTCAGGACTTGAACTCAGGTTGCTAGCTTCGCTGTGGAACTCAGGGTCAGAGGCAACACTGAAGGACCCCAGGGGTGGGCTGTCACCCTCCTCCGGTGACGGGGAGCCCTGCCCATGGGCAGGCTTTGTGGAGAGACCCAGAAAGCATACAGAGTGCAAGCTGTTTGGTATGGGATTCTGCAGGCTCGGAAGAGGGGAATAGGGACCCTTTGTGGGCCAGTGGACATGCTGGGATGCTGTGCAGCTGCTGGAGATCCCGCCCCTCTCTGAGCCTCAAGTGCCCTCTGCACACTGAGCCCTCCACTTCGTTTTTTTTTTAATTTTTTAATCTAATTTTATTTATTTTTTATAGAGCAGGTTCTTATTAGTTATCTATTTTATACCTATTAGTGTATATACGTCAATCCCAATCTCCCAATTCATCCCACTACCACCACCCCCCGCCCCCCACTTTCCCTCCTTGGTGTCCATACGTTTGTTCTCTACATCCGTGTCTGAGCCCTCCACTTCTGAGGCCGTGGGTGTGGAGTCCTCTGGTGGCAAGAGGCTGTCATAGTGAGTGGAGCTGAGTGAGCCTGCTAGGGCTCAGAGACAGCCTTGACACACACAAACACACACACGCACACACCATCAGAGGAGCCACTAGTACTGCTTCATGAGAGCTAATTGTTAAATATTCAGGAATACGCTGACCCAGTTGTTAAACCATTGAGAGCCTGAAATTGACAAGTGTGGGGATAATTACCACAGTGAGATTGGCTACAAATCAGGGCTCCTGTGCCCCTCCACCCCTCCCCAGCCTGCTAACCAGCTCACTACTGCCCACCCCCCTACCTCATATACCTCCACTGCTCCTTGGCTGTCCCTTGCCCCATCTTCCAGCTTCTGGAGGGAGGCTCAGAGCCCTTCCCTGGCAGAAGTGGGCTGTGGTCACACTGCGCAGATCACAGGGGAGTCCTGGAGTCCAGCCACTGCTCTGCCTCCAACTGCTGTATGACTTTGAGGCAAACCCCTTTCCTTTTCTGAACCTCAGGAGCCCCACCTGTGCTGCTAAAGGAAAACTGTCTCCTTGTTGAGAGCCAGGGTGTCTGCGAAGGGAAGGAGGAGGGCTCCAGCTCCCAGGAAGCTCATGGTTCCCAAGCCTTGCTTTGCCTCCCTCCTGTCCTGCTGCCACCGCTGCCCACAGCCAGGCGGAGGGGACAGGTTGTTGGGGGATCGGAGAGCCCCACAGAGAAGTCATTGCCCCACTCAGGGGTGCCACCTTCAGAGACCAAGCTTCCCAGCACTGACCCACTAGGATCGGAATCCAGGGTCTGCCACTTGCCAGCTTTGTGACCCTAAGCAAGTGAACGCACCTCTCTGAACCTTGCTTTCTCAGTCCTTAAAATTAGGACAGTGATCCTTACCTGTCAGGGGAGATACCGTGATCACAAAGGTGGTTCTGCAGCGCACGGCTCATCCATTGCACTCCGGATGTGCTGATCCCTGCGATTTCCCCAAACGTGGGAAACTCTACTGCAGAATTTGTAGCAGTGGGGGACTGCGTTCGCACTTTCCCCTAAAAAAAAAAAAAAAAAAATGAGTGTAGTGATAACTGCCCATACGGTTGCTGTGAGAAGAAAAAAAGCTCATCAATGAAGTCAGTACTGTGACAGGCAGAAAAGCAGGGTACTTTTCAAGTTCAGGATGGGGTCAAGACTGCCTGGGTTCAAATGCCACACCACCGCTTCCCACCGGTGTGACCTTGGCCAACTTAACTAATATCTCTGAACCGTACTTTCAGACAGTATCTGTGTGTGGGGGGTGGAGGTAATAATAATACTCCTCTCATAGGGATAGTGTAAGGATTAAATAAGCCCATACTCAGCACAGAGCTGGGACCCGGTGAGTGCTCAGTTCTAAGCTGGGAGGTTCTCACCTCAAAATCAGGGGTGATTTTGCCCTCAGGGGACCCTTGGCCACGTCTGGAGACATTTTTGATTGTCCTGAGAGGGTGGGATTGGAGGGGGAATGCTACTGGCATCTAGAGGTCAGGGATCCTGCTACACAGGGTTCAATGTGCAGAACACCTCCTAGGCCACAATGTCAGCGGTGCTCTCAGGTGGAGAAGCCTTGGTCTAGGCACTAGTGTGCAGCTGGAAACAAATCTAAGTCCTTAAACTCAGGGAGTTTGTATTTTAATGCGGGAGACGGACAATAAACAAACAAACACATGAAGGCAGTGGTAAGTGCAATACTTAAAAACAAAACAAAACCTAACAAAACCAGAGTACAGTAATAGAGAGTGATGGAGGACGGTGTTCTGGCCAGGGTGACCAGGGGAGACCTCTCTGAGGAGGTGACAGAGACCTGACGAAATCGCCAAGGTGATTGGTTTAGATGTCTAAGGGGAGAGCATTCCAGGCAGAAGGACAGTCAGTGCAAAGGCCCTGAGGCAGGAGGGGCCGGCACATTTGAGGTCAGCGAGACTGGATCAGAGGAGGTGGAGAGAGAGTGGCGGGAACCAAGATCACGAAGGTAGACAGGGGTCAGGACGTGGCGGCCATGAGAGCACTTTGGATTTCATTCCAAGTGAGATGACAAGCCTTTGCGGTAACATTACTGTCAATGCATTTTAATGGGCATCACTGTGCTTTGAGTATAGAGCTGTGCTAGGCCCCACGCTAAGGGCATGGCACACATTATCTCCCTTGGAATCTACACCCAGTAGGCTCCACTTAATGTCGGTTGTCTCCCTTCATTGAAGAGTCTGGGGCTCTTCTCCCTGGCAGGGCAGGCAGAGGGCTTTGGGAATTTGGTCTGAGGAAGACAGAACCCTAGAATGTCCAGGCTTAGTCATCACCTTAGCTCCCTCCTTCCATGGAAACTGGAGCTTGGAGAGGGAAAGGTCAGACATCTGAGTCAGACTGACCATGGCCACTCTGTCTCCATCTTCCCAGTGCATGGCTCTCTCCCCAAAGCTCCCAGCTCTTCAGGACTCAGCATTTAGGGGAGGGACCCAGAGTGGACTCCTGGACTGCCTGCCATGTAACCATAACAACAGCCACCATTTACTGGGCCTTACTCTGTTCCCAGCACCCTGCTCAGCAGTGCCTTCCTAACCACCCTTTGAAGGCATCATGATTCCCAGGTTACAGATGCTGGAAGCAGAGCTTAAATTCCATGCCCAAAGACCACCCAACTTGTGAGTGGCAGGGCAGAATTCTCCCCAGGCATGTGACTCACTCCCTTGGGGAAGTGACAGTGCCCCCGCCCTTTCCCCGGGTTGTTGCACAGACTAATCCAGGTGACGCGGTAAGTGTTTTGCCGGTGACCCTGGAAGCAGTCCCTGAGCCCTGGTTCTCAGCCCTGTGGTTGCTCTGCTGCAGCGGCTCCAGCAGGCCAGCCGGCCAGCCCTAGATTGGGGCCCGTCACTGGAGGAGAACCGGACAGGCATGTACGTGGCCACGCTGGCCGGGAGCCAGTCCCCCAAGCCACTGATGGTGCACATGCGCAAGTACGGGGGCATCACCAGCTTCGAGAACACAGCCATCGAGGTGGACCGAGAGATTGCAGAGGAGGAAGAATCCATGATGTGAGATGGGAAGCAGGCAGACAGGAGGCCCTGCCGGCCCCCAAGGGTTGCCACGCACCCTCTGGGGTTCTGAGAGGCCTGAGGCTGCAGGAGGTTGCCATGGTGATGCCGGTCCCCACAGCAAGTCCCTTTTTGTGGCCTCTGCCTCTCCTAAAACCTCTGTCTACTCCCAACACACACGCACACGCACAAGCAAATGCACACGCACACACTCAAAGCTGAAAATGAGCCAGCTCAGCCCTTACTTCACAGATGGACAGACTGAGGCCCAAGGTCACACGACAGAAGGGACTGGACCCCAGGCCTCCTGACAGGCCAGCTCCCTTTCTCATGTGGCAGCTGGCACCACCCTCTCATCTCTGTTCAGGGCCCAGTCCCTTCTCTTCTCTTGGGGAGCCTGCCCCATACACTTCAACGAATCAGAATCTTGAGCTGGGCAAGGACACTCAGGTTGTCTCGAGGCCCACGAGGCCCCGGGCATCAAGGGTTATCAAGTCAAGTGGGAGAAAGATCCCTGTGGGTTCACGTGTGCAGGCCATGTTTCCTGAAGGAGGTGGGACCTGAGGGCCCTGGAGGATGGGCAAGTTTGGAGAGAGAGAGAGGAAGAGGACGGCAGGGTGGGGAGGGCCTCTGGCCAAGGCACTGATCCAGCCAAGGTGTGGGGGTCAGAATATAGCCCCCTTCTCCTCCCCTGGGGCCAGGAGGTGGCCTGGGGAGAGACCAAGGGTGAGTGAGCGAGGAGAGCAGGAGAGTGGTGGGAGAAGCAGGTGTTACCAGGTTACAACGGGATTCAAGTGGGAATGCAGATTTTTGGAGAGGGTGAGCCAGGGATGTGGGCGGGCAGGGGATTTGCAGGATCATGTGCTTTAGATAGGATATCCTTCTGGCTCAGTGTGCAAGGTGGAATAGAGGGGATAAGGTAGAGGTGGGAAGCCTGCAGAGGACAGACCAGAGGGGCTAGTGCCTGAGCTTGGGTATTAGGAGGGTGGAGGGAGGGAAAGAAGGAGGACCCCAGAGCTTCCCTCTCTGGACCCCATGCCCTCTAGTGTGGGGAGCCCTGGGCATGATTAGAACCGGGGAAGGGAGGGAGGTGCCTGACCTGCACTGTGGAGGTGGGAACGAGGGGTCGTAGTCAGGACCCAGGGCCCCTCTCGTCCCTTCTCCCTTGTCCTGGCGGCCCTCACTGTTTCCTCTAGCTCCAGGCACTGCTGGCCTTGGCTGTGGACGAACAGGCCACTAAGAGCCTCGGGAGGTGGTCCACACATATGGCTGTCTGGTCCCAGTGCTGCCAACTCTGCTTCAGCACGTGGGTCCCTGGGCATGGACACCCGAGTGGAGGCAGAGAGCAGAGGGCGGGCGACAATCAGGCCTGTAGCCAGAGACCTTGGCATCTTCAATCCCCAGGCTTGGGAGGGGCTGCCCTGGGGTCCCTCCTTCCCTGAGAGATGAGGGTGGGGTGGGAAAACGCCTGATCAGGTCCCTTGCACATGGCATCCTCCAGTGGGGCAGGGTGGCCTGGTGCAGCTGTGCCAACCCCTGTGCCCTCTCTGCTGGTGTTTCCCCAACCCATCTGTGTTCTGTTAATAAACACCAATGAAGTCATCTTCCTTACCCTGTCTCCTTACTGCTGAGAGCCACGAGGTGGGAAGCACAGAACTTTCTGTTTCCCATCAGACAGATAAGGGAACTGAGGCTCAGCTGCCTCCTTTCCTGGCCCACCTGGCTTCTGACCCTAGCTTTGCCATTTCTCCGTGGCAGTGGTCGGTGGGTGGGGCTTAGGAAGGATGATGAAAATGAGGAAGGCCCTTAAAGACCACCTAGTCTCCCATTATACATACGGATAAACCGAGGCCCACCGAGGGGAAGAGACCTGCTTAAGGTTACCCAGCAGAGACAGGCAGAGCTGGGGGCAAACCAGGGCCTGTCAGCCATCTCCTTTCCCTGGCCAGCTGCCCTCCTTCCCTCCCCAGCTCTTTCCCAGCCTTACCTGCAGTTGCAGCTGGAGCTCCAAGAGTAGAATTGGGAGGAGCCACGACTTTCCCAGGCCGGAAGAATTTCCTGGTTCTACCCACCCCCACCTGGCAGGACCTTGCCAATATAAAAGGGCCCCAGTGCCTTTCAAATGCGATGCCCAGGTGTTTGCAAAGGCTTTGAATGCGGGTGGAGAGGAAGGGCTGCTGCATATTTCGGATATTAATAAATTTCCCCTAACAAAGGGCCAGGGCCCCCTCCTGCCCCCTCTTTGTTTGGGGCTCTAGGTGGGGGAAGAGAGATGGGTTTGCTAATTTGCAGAGGACGCAGGAATGGCCTTCACAGTTCACAATGCTTCTTTCCACACCCTGGGGGCGGGCTCCAGCCTTGCTCACAAAGCCCCTGGCGCCCGGCCCTCTCAGCACCCCCACAGCCACCTCTGGCCCGGAAGGAGGCGCTCTCCGGGCTTGCTTTAGGACTGAGCCTGAGCTCTAGGATTGAGCGTGGCTTGTGAGTACTCCTCACCCAACCCCTTGGCTGTAGCCCTGCATCTTGGAAGTCAGGAGTGGAGGATCCTAGGAGTCTAGGCTTTTCTTTTCCCAGATTCCCGAGTCTGCAGTTGGAGGATTCTAGGCATCTACGGACTCCACTAGCCTCAGCTCCTCCAGCCTCACCTCCCTTGCCCTGCTTTCCTCCTGCCTGCGCTCTTCCTGGTCACCGCCCTGCCGCTGCGGTTCCTGGACTGTCCTCCCTGGCCCAGTCTTCCAGTCTGTCCTGCTTTTCCCATTTCCGCTGCTCCGACAGCCTTTCCAGCTGCCCCAGGCTTCTGCTTCCTCTGCTGCCCATGTCATCTCCCTACTGCTCCCGTCCTGATCTCCATATTGACTTCAGATCTCCCTGCCTCATACCAGATGCCAGCCAGGCCCCGATTGTAGTGGGAGCTGACTAAGGACCAGGGACCCACAGCTGGAGGCATCCCTGACAGCATAGTGCGCATCGGACAGGAGACATCAGCC